AGAGATTCAGGGGTTCAAGGGGCTCAGGCGTTTAGAGTTTAAAAGGGGGAGTTGGGTAAAGTCCCTCGCCCCCCCCCCCCCCCCCCCAAGAAAAAGAACCTAAACCCTAAACCCCAAACCCTCAACCCTAAACCCTAGACCCTAGACCCCAAACCATAAACCCTAACCCACCCCCAAGAAGCCTGAATACTCGCAAAGGCGAGAGAAGGAGATTGCCATGAGCGTGGCTCGGCCCAGCAGCCCGTGTTTAGGGGGGTTTGGGGGTTTAGGGTTTTTGGGGTTTTTAGAGTTTTTAGGGTTTAGGGTTTAGGGCTCTGGTGCCAAAAAGCAAGTGACTCAAGGGACGAAAGGAGGGACCTCATAGGGACCTTAGGGGTTATTTAGGTGTTACTTGGGGGGCTACTTAGGTCCATAGGGACTGTACAAGTATACCCCTGATGTTACGTGTTGTTAGCTGGAGGGTTTCAGGGTTTGGGATTTATGGCTCAGTTGTGAGGGCATATGAAAATGAAACAGGATTTACATTACGGTTATTGGTGAGTGTATATATGGAGTGTCCATCTTGGGGTACAAGGAATATAAACCCTGCTTCATATCGATCTGATTTAGGCGCTGAAGGGGCGGACTCCAGACCTGCAGTGGCCGAGCAACATTATTTGCCGAACCCCTGAAGCCCCCCCCCCCCCCCCCTCTAAACCCTAAACCCTAAACCCTAAACCCTAAACCCTAAACCCTAAACCCTAAACCCTAAACCCCCCCCCGAACGCCACGAGGAGTCCATGCCGAACCTCCCCATCCAGCCCCTGGAAGATGGCCCAGAAGGTGCACATGGGTGGGCGTTTAGGGTTTAGGGTTTAGGTTTAGGGTTTAGGGTTTAGGGTTCAGGGTTTAGGGTTTAAGGTTTAGGGTTCAGGGTTTAGGGTTTAGACAATTATTTTTAGCCCAGTGGTACCCTTTACCCTTCTTTTTGGTTCTGGGTTCCCTTAGAAAGTAACCAACCCAAAAAGGGTACCCATATCATAAGATGGTTACAGGGCTACCAAGAAGGGTTAAAGAGCTCAAGGGTTTTAGGGCTGGAGGGTTGAAGAGCTCAAGAGCTTGAGACTTCATAAGGGTTTAAGGGCTTAAGGTTTTCTAAGGGTTTAAGGGCTTAAGACTTTATGTCCGCTTTGGGGCTTCAGGCTTTATAAGGGTTTAAGGGCTTCTTAGGCCTTAATCTCCTAGGTCCCATACGGGGTGAAGGGCTTAAGGGTTTGAAGGGGGGTCACGACGTGTATGCTTGAGCATTTAGACATAAAGTTCACTCAATTCATAGACCTTAGGCTCCATACCTTAGGGCCCTAAACTAGGGTTTACGGTTTAGGGTTTAGGCTTTAGGCTTTAGGCTTTAGGCTTTGGGCTTTAGGCTTTAGGCTTTAGGCTTTAGGCTTTAGGCTTTAGGGTTTAGGGTTTAGGGTTTAGGGTTTAGGGTTTAGGGGCCCTAAACCTTAAGCCTTAAAGCACCCCCGAGCCTTGTCCACGAAGATTTGGGCCTTGCCCGCGAAGATTCGGGGCTTGCCCACGAAAAACTGGCCTTGCCCACGACGATCATTAGGGTTAAAGTTCGATATGATACAGAGGTTTAGGGTTTAGGGTTTAGGGTTTAGGGTTTAGGGTTTAGGGTTTAGGTTTAGGGTTTGGGGTTTAGAGTTTCGGGCCCAGCTAGTGGCTTCAGGGTCTTGGGGTTCGAGGTTTCGGGCTGTGGGCGTTCATGGAGGTCTGTCACTCAACCCCAGTTTCCCTAACCCCTAAACCCTAAACCCTAAACCCTAAACCCTAGTAGCCCTAAACCCTAAACTCCAAACTCCCGCCCCGAACTGCAGGTTCCGACCTGCCGCCAGACCAGGGCGGCCGGTGAGGGCGTTGCGTTGCTTGGGGGTCTGCACCTGGAGCCAGAGGGGTATAGAGGTTTCAGAAATGGGTTAGGCTTTAGGGTTTAGGGTTTAGGATTTAGGGTTTAGGGCTTAGGGTTTAGGGCCTTTGGAGTTTAGGGTTTATGGTGTAGGAGGGTTCGTTTGCCATTCTTTTTGTAGCCCTGCCTCTTAAAGAGGCACCGGGACTCTCAAAGAGTTTAGAGGGGCATTTCGGGTGAGAAAGAGAGAGGTGGAGGGTTGATAGTGTTTAGGGTTTCGGGTTTTGGGTTCCCAATCATCCTTTTCATTATTTATTTTTACAAATTTGTCATTGATATAGTTATAATTAGTTAAATCTTCAGGTCCATTACTATCTTGTGAATCATATTCATAATTATCGAAAAAATTTGGATTATCATGGGTTTGTAGGCTTCAACTTTGAATCGGGCTTGTGAGGATCAGAAGGTTTTCAGGGCTTGCCGAATCTGAGCTAAGGGCCTCATAGCCGCGGATTCCGTCCAGAGCCTTGAACCCCTTAACCCTTCAAACCCCTACAAGTCCTAAACCCCGAACACTCTTAAGCCCTAAACCTCTAAAAATTCTCAGGCCCCGAACCCTAAACACCTTATCACTAAACCAACCCTACCCGTATAAGCCCTACACTGCATTGACCCTAAACCCTAAACCCTAAACCCTAAACCCTAAACCCTAAACCCTAAACCCTAAACCCTAAAAGCATCCACCTCTGTGGTGTACCGGCCCTGAATTCAGAAGGGCCAGCAGATAGACAGTGTTCACAAAAACGGTGGCAGGGAGGTCACCTCTTCCCTAGGCTCTCCAGAATACCGGGCTTGGGGGGTTTAGTGGTTTTAAGGCTTAGGGGCTTCGGGTTCAGAGGTGGAGGGTATTAGGGCAGAGAGCAAGAGCCCCTAAACCCTAAACCCTAAACCCTAAACCCTAAGTCCCCTGAGAGAGAGAGGGAGCCTCCCTTCGCTTCCGCGCGCCGCGAGATTCGAAAGCGAACTCGGCCGACTGCTCCGTTTCACAAAAACGCAGGTACCTGGGGGGCCTTCCGGCTCCTGCTTCAGGGAGCTTCGAAGGTGTTTGGGGTTTATAGGGTTCAGGGTTTCGGGTTTCGGGTTTCGGGTTTGGGGTGTAGGGTTTGAGGTTTAGGGTTTTAGGGTTTGGGGTTTGGGGTTTAGGGTTTCGGGTTTCGGGCTTGGGGTGTAGGGTTTGGGGTTTAGGGTTTGGTGTTTGGGGTGTGGGGATTGGGGTTTGTTGGCGCCAGACCAGTTGGATCTTCCAAGCTTTAGGGTCTTTCAGGGTCGGTAGCTGGTTTGAGCTTCTAGACAAAAACGGAACCACTGCGGTTTAGGGTTTAGGGTTAGGGTTTAGGGTTTAGGGTTTGGGGTTTAGGGTTGAGGATTTAGGGTTTAGGGTTTAGGGTTTAGGGGGTTGTGCTGGCATGGTCAGTCCTCGCCATGAAATATGCTCCCATTTTGGGAGTACCCCTCGACCCTAAAGCGTAAGTCTTAAGCCTCCTATGGGTTACACACAAGGATGGTTTAGGGTTTAGGGTTTAGGGGCTTAGGGGTTTAGGCTTTAAGGGGTTTAGGGGCTTAGGGGTTTAGGGGTTTAGGGGTTTAGGGGTTTAGGGGTTTAGGGGTTTAGGGTTTTAGGGTTTTAGGGTTTAGGGTTTTAGGTTTTAGGGTTTAGGGCGACAGGTAAGGCTCCGGTCGTGTCATATAATAGGTAACCCCCGAAAATGGGGAGGCTTTAGGGTAGTTTAGGAAACCAGGGTCTAGGGCTGAATGTTCGGAGTTTAGGGACCCTAATTTAAGGTTTAGGGGCTGAGCGGAATTGAAGTAACCTTGGGTTTAGCGTTTAGAGTTTAGGGTTTAGGGTTTAGGGTTTAGGGTTTAGGGCTACCACCGTCCAAGAAGGAGCCGGGACACCCCAGGCCGTTTCACGAGTGCGCAACTTGGGCACTCGGAAGTGGGGTAACGAAGCCCTGTCCAGGCCTAGAGGCCATAAAACATCCTCCTCAAAGTTAGAGTTTAGGGTTGAGGGTCTAGAGTCTAGAGTTTAGGGTTCAGAGGTTTATTCCGAAAGCCAAGCCCGGGGCTACTTTGGCCCTGAAAGCCTTAGTGACACCTGGCCCGGGCGCGTCTTTTTTGCGAAGCAAGCCGCGAGTGCCCGAGTGCTGAGGGTGCAAAAAGACTGGCAACCGGGCCACCGGGACCCTAAACCCTAAACCCTGTACCCTGAACCCTAAACCCTAAACACTAAACCCTAGCCCTAAACCCTATGAAGCTTTTCAAAGCCCTAAGCTTCATCCACTTGGTACCACGACATTCTTGCCTGTTTTGGGGGATTAACAACGTAGCCAACCCAAAGATGGCTGCCCTGCACACTAAACCTAAGCCCAAAACCGTAAACCCTAAACCTGCCAAGTTCCCGTTTGAGGTTGTGTTCAGGGAAAGCCCGACACAGATAAGGTCTACGCTTCCCTCAAACCCCCAAACCTTACCGGCCCTTTTTCAACCCGCAACCCATACCTAGGGTTTAGGGTTTAGGGTAAACCCCCAACCTTTCAACCATAATGCTAAGCCCGAGGCCCTTAGAAACAAACCCAAGTGGCGCTTGAAGCCTGTTAAGCCCTCTGAGCGTAAACCTGAGAGACAACGCCCCTGAATCGAAAGTGATGTTCAACGACTTCACCACCCTCGGGCAAGGGTTTAAGCCCTACACCCTAAACCCTAAACCCTAACCCCTGAGTTTTAGGGTGTAGTGATTTAGGCTTGAGAGGGTACCCGAAAGCCAAGCCGACACTCCAGCACCAACCGAATCGAAGCACGCAGCGAACCGGTCAAGTTCTTCTAAACCCTAACCCTAAACCCTAATTAAACCCTAAACCCCAAACCCCAAACCCCATAAAGCCGAAAAAGCCCCAAAGACGTAGCTCCAGGCAGTCCCCCCCCCCCCCCCCCCCCCCCCCCCCCCCCCCCCCCTCCGCCCCCCCCCCCCCTCCGCCCCCCCCCCCCCTCCGCCCCCGCACCTCCCTCCCACCCACCTCCCCACCCCGGCTCTTTGGCCACTCCGTCCGAGGCGAAGACCGAAGGAAAGGGCCCAAGAAGAAGAAGGCACCACCACTCAGACCCCTTGGGGTTTAGGGTTTAGGGTTCAGGGTTGAGGGTTTAGGGTTTCAGGGTTTTAGGGTTTTGGGGTTTAGGGTTTTAGGGCTAGAGTTGTGATGTTCCCCCTTATACTAACACCTTAATCGGGACTGAGGTACCCCCCCTCCCCTGTTAGAATCCCGCTTGCAGAGCAGTTAGTAGGCAAACATCCGGTTTAGGGTTTAGGGTTTAGGGTTTAGGGTTTAGGGTTTAGGGTTTAGGGTTTAGGGTTTAGGGTTTAACCTCTACACCCGAACGCCCCCTTGTAAAGTTTAGGCTTTATAGGATTTGTCGGGTATACAGGGTTTTTCGGATGCAGAGGGTTTATCGGGAGCGTAGGGTTGATGGCGGTTTATCGGGTTTCCAGGGTTTTTTTGTGAGTTTGTAGGGTTTCGAGGGTTCCGATTGCGTTTAAAACCCTGTAAAGCCTGTTCTGGCCTCCGGCGTGTTATTCGCGCTGATGCCTGGGGGGAGGAGTGCGTACGAGTCTAAGGGTAGTTACATGGTCCCTTAGTATGGGCCATCCAAAGGGGACCCCTTAGATACCCCTCATATCACCTATACAAATTAAGGGCCCATAGATACAGCAGAACCTTTAAAGGACCATATTGAGGGCCCATGTAACTACCCTTAAAGCGAGCCTCTGGTTTGAGATTGAGGTGTCCAGGTGGGGAGGGGAGCGGCAATGATCTGTGTTCGGTCAACCCCCTCCATAGAGGCTTAGTCCTTTCTTTCTACAAGGATCCCGTTTCAGCACCAGTAAGAGGGCTTAGGATTTGCGGCCTGCTCCCGACAGACCTACAGCAGAGTCTATACCCTAGTCGAGTCGGATTTCGTTTGTGTTGGCGGTTCTTGGGGGTTATAGGGTTTAGGATACCCTCAACCCTAGACCCAAAGCCCTAAGCCCCAAGCCCTAAACCCTATTTACTCTTGGGGTATTGCTCTGGCTGCCGCGCAGGGGGTTAAGGAGGCACAAGACTTCTCCGACATGGAATCAGGCCGCCACCACCTTCAACTGGGTTCTTGTGAAGGAACTTAAGTGAAGCTACCAGGTTTAGGGTTGAGGGTTTAGGGTTTAGGGTTTAGGGCTACCATTTCATATTGTTAAGGAACTTGCAACTTAAGTTTCGAAGAATGGGGGGGGGGGGGTGAAAGAGTAGTCTTGTCCATCAGCTGGGACGGGTCTTTTGGGTTTTGCGGGGCCCGGGTTTAGGGTTTTAGGGTTTTAGGGGGGTTTTAGGGGGGTTTTAGGGTTTTAGGGTTTTAGGGTGTTTTGGGGTTTTTGGGTTTTTGGGGTTTTGGGTTTTTGGGGTTTTGGGGTTTTGGGGTTTTGGGGTTTTGGGGTTTTGGGGTTTTGGGGTTTTGGGGTTTTGGGGTTTTGGGGTTTTGGGGTTTGGGGATTTAGGCTTTGGGGTTTGGGGTTTGGGGTTTAAGGTTAGGGTTTTCGGCCTAGGGAGTTTTGAGGCGCTTAAGGGTCGAAGCACCGGGGCTAAATTACTTGGTAGCCTAGTGGTGCCCTTTTACCCTTTTGTTGGTTCTGGATTCTCTTGGAAAGTAGCTGGTTTCTGGGGCTACCAACATTTCCTAAACCCTGAATCCTGAACCCCTAAAAACTGATTCCAAGATTCAGTCCTTGTAGTCTTGAGGGGCGCCAGGGTCAACTTCTAGGCCTTCCGCGCTTAGCACTGGGGCTTCTACCGCAAATCCCGAGGCCCGGAGCGAGTGCTCTAGTAAAGCCTTCGTAGCCTGCGTTTAAGGTTTTGGACTGAGGGCTTTTAGTGTTTAGGGTTTGGGGTGCCCCCCCCCATGAAACTCTATGAAACCTGAGCCCATGCAGCCCAGGTTAGCATTGCGCAGAGCCTCTAAACCCCAGCCGGTCAAGAGACCCTATAGGATGACGCATACCGCGTCAATCAATAAACATCTAAACTGCAGCCCATACTTCCAGCATGCTAAAGCCCAAACCCCAAACCCCTAAACCCCAAACCTCTAAACCCCAAACCCTAAACCCCCAAACCCTAAACCCCTAAACCCCAAACCCTAAGCCCTAAACCCCAAGCCCGAAACGCTAACCCCCCCCCCCCCCAAAAAAAAAAACAGAAAACAAAAAAAGGGTGTGCGCATTCAAGCCCCAGCACTGGCCCAGATGAACCCAAGCCAAAGGGCAAGAAGAAGAAGGCGCCAAGGGTGGGGTTTAGGGTTTAGGGTTTAGGGTTTAGGGTTTAGGGTTTAGGGTTTTTGGGCATTAGGGTTTAGGGTTTTAGGGTTCAGGTTTCCAGGGTTTAGGGTTTAGGGTTCATGGTTGATAGGGGTCAGGGTTTGGGGATTGGGGTTTAGGGTTTAGAGTTTTAGGGTTCTAGGGTTTAGGGTTTAGAGTTTGTGGTTGATAGGGCTTGGGGGGGGCTTTACAGGGTTCAGGGTTTAGGGTTTAGGGTCTAGGGTTTACGGTTTAGGGTTTAGGGTTTAGCTTCAGGGTTGAGGGCTAGGGTATAGGGGACTGACAGAGGAGGAAGGAATGGATTCGCATCCGATCCGAAATCCTGAGCCAACATCATTCCCACCCTCTCTAGGTAGGTCCTTGCGACAACTTGTCTTTCCCCTTTACTGGGTGCAGAGAGCATCATACTCAGGAATATTTTTCAGAGGGTTTTTGATGGACATCCCGGCTCTGCCTGCATTGTTTTAAGGTCCCTGCGGCGCCCTGACAAACACCGGAAATTCGGGTTCAGGGTTCAGGGTTTAGGGTTTAGGGTTTAGGGGTTAGGGTTCAGGGTGTAGGCTTGGAAGGCCTCAGGACTTGCTGAGGTGATCTTGCCTGCAGCCTCCATGCCCTACATGCCTACGCGCGACACCGCAAAAATCGCGCATCGCGAAGCCCTGAACGCCAACCCCTCGGCCAGCATCCTCTTCTCTGCATTCTCTACAAGATGGGGGTCAGGATAATTGCTAAATAGTATTCCCTTCTGGTCTATTCGAATTATTAAGGCCCCTGTATTGTTCGAGGCCCCTACGTCTGAAACCTTGCTCCTGCACAACTGCGTGGTGCAGGAGGTAGAGGGTCAGAAAATTCACCCTAAACCCCTAAACCCCTAAAGCCCTAAACCCCTAAACCCCTAAACCCTAGTTAAACCCCCAAACCCCTAAACCCTAAACCCTAAAGGAAGCGACAACTCTACTACAAGTCCCCTAAACCATAGAAGGAAAATTCACCAAAAAAAACTCACAAGAAAACGCAACTACCAGCCCGACGCCTTGCGTTCCACAAGGAACTACACCCCCTAAACCCCCTAAATCCCCTAAACCCCTAAACCCCCCTAAACCCCCCTAAACCCCTAAACCCCCCTAAACCCCTAAACCCCCCTAAACCCCCTAAACTAAACATCCTAAACGCCCTAAACACCCCCCCCCCCCCCCCCACCCCAAAGGAACAGCCCGGAAAAGGTGGAGCGAGACCGGACTCCGCCACAGGATTTCTCGGATATGGACTCTGAGGCCATGGATTTGGGGTTTAGGGTTTAAGGTTTAGGGTTTAGGGTTTAGGGTTTAGGGTTTAGGGTTTAGGGTTTAGGCTTTTGTGTTTGGGGTTTTGGGGTTTACGGATTTAGCGGTTTTGGGGGGTTTCTGGTTTAGGAGCTTTTGGAGTTGTAGGGGTTTAGGGGTTTGGGGGCTTTGGGGTTTCCTGCTTTAGGAGTTTTGGGGTATAGGAGTTTGGGGGGTTAGGGGTTTAGGATCTTCGGGATTTCGGAGCTTTGAATCTTTGGGGCTTAGGAGTTTTGGGGCTTTGGGGTTTCGGTGTTTGTTTGTTTAGGAGTTTTGGGGTTTTGTGGTTGTGGGTTCTTGGTGTTTTGGTGTTTAGGATTGGGGTGTAGGGGTTTTGGGCTGCCCAGGGTATAGGGGTTTTGGTGTTTTGGGGTTTAAGACAATTTGGGGTTGTGGGGTTGTGGGGTTTTCGGGCTTTGTGGTTTTGGTGTTTGGGATACTGGGGTTTTGAGGTTGTGGGGTTTCCGGGTTTTGGGGTTTTGGGGGTTTCGGGGTTTTGAGGTTAAGGGGTTTAGGGGTCTCTGGGGTTTTGGGGTTTTGGGGTTTTGGGGTTTTGGGGTTTTGGGGTTTTGGGGTTTTAGGGTTGTGGGGGTTTCGCAGCCAATGTCTAGGAGCTTAGGGCAGGGCGAAGGGTAGCAAGACACCAGAAAAACCCTAAAAGACCTCAACAAGTACGCTTAACTCTTAGGGACCTGGACTCCTAAACACTACGTGAGGCGAGGCCGTGAAGCAGAGTTTGGGCCAAGATGTCACACGGGTTTAGGGTTTAGGGTTTAGGGTTTAGGGTTTAGGGTTTAGGAAAAAAGGCGCACACCCCCGAAGCCCGAAAGAACCCAACAGTCTCTGCGCGAAGGAGTTTCAGAGCCGGACGAAGAAGGGCAAGAAGGGAAAGGCCAGCCCAAGATACCCTAAACCCTAAACCCTAAACCCTAAACCCTAAACCCTAAACCCTAAACCCTAAACCCTAAACCCTAAACCCTAAACCCTAAACCCTAAACCCTAAACCCAAGGGTTCTTGTTAGTGACAGAGCTTCGGGCTTTTGAGGTTCTCGGAGCCCTGGGTGGATGCAGAAGATTTCAGTGAATGGCGCTTCAGGGGGGGGAGGGGGGGGGGGGGGGGGGGGGGGGGGGGGGGGGGGGGGGGGGGAGGGAACCCCAAACCCCAAACCCCAAACCCCAAACCCCAAACCCCGAACCTGTACCCTAAACCCTCATCCCTAAACCCTAAACCCTAAACCCTAGACCCTCATCCCTAAACCCTAGACCATTGGTCACTCTTGGCATCCATCCCTCTACTGCAAGAATTTTGGGGGTCAAATGATACCTAAGATTGGGACACCATACCCTTGGCTACTATCATCTCCATTGGGGTATGTGAACCCTAAACACTGAGCCCTAAACTCAAAACCCTAAACCCTAAACCCTGACCATAAACCCCTTTTGGGGTTCGATTTCCTCCTTAAGGACCTAGCCTAGTAAGCATTGTAGACCCCATGGCTTTCCGAACCGGGGAAGCACCAGAACCCTGAAACCCTAAACCCCTAAACCTTTTCATGGAGACCCCTTCCCAAGCCACAACTGCGCTTTTTCCTAAACCCCGAGCCCCAAGCCCCAACTCCTGCATCTTAAGACCAATCCCAGACCCTAAATCCTAAACCCTAAACCCTAAACCTGGAACCCCATCCCCGGAATTCCCGGAAGCATCGAAAGTTGAGGCCCCCCCTCCGTCCGACGAGTCCTCAGGCGGCGCCGGGGGTGGGAGGGCGGCTTCCCTAAGGACCAAAAGGAGCCCTGAAAGGATTTAGGGTTTGGGGTTTAGGGTTTAGGGTTTGGGGTTTGGGGTTGAGGGTTTGGGGTGTAGGGTTTAGGGTTCATATACCCCTTCGAGGCCCAAGTGGTACAAGATCTGGAACCCCTGGAGCCGAAACCCCCAAAACCCAAGCATTTCCGTGTGCACCGTGCTTGTGAGATATGCCGAGGGGTGTGGCTTTGGTGTGCGAAGTTTAAGGTTCCTAGGCTTTCGCAGTAGAACCCTAAGCCCTGAGCCCTAAACCCTAAACCCTAAATCCTAAACCCTGAAACCTAAACCCTAAACCCTAAACCCTAAACCCTAAACCCTGAACCTCTTGGCAGGGAGCGGCAAAAAGAAGAAGGCGAGGCCGTTCTTTATCCAGAAGTGGGAAGGGCAGGGAGTCGATGTGGACGCATGCTTTTGCTAGGGTTTAGGGTTTAGGGTTTAGGGTTTAGGGTTTAGGGTTTAGGGTTTAGGGTTTAGGGTTTAGGGTTTAGGGTTTAGGGTTTAGGGTTTAGGGTTTAGGGTTAGGGGGTTTAGGGTTTTTAGGCCCCCCCCCCCCCCCCCCCCCCCCCCCCGCTGCACCCTAACCCCAGATCCCTTGAGCCCTAAACCTCTACACCCCAATGCCCCAACCCAGCCATGAAGGAGGCAACGCCTGGGTTTAGGGTTTAGGGTTTAGGGTTTAGGGTTTAGGGTTTAGGGTTTAGGGTTTAGGGTTTAGGGTTTAGGGTTTAGGGTTTAGGGTTTACCCCTAAACGCTATACTTGGGATGTTCTCCCTTGTACTAACAAGTCGTTAATAGGGGTGATCGTACTCCCTAATACAATCCCTACTAAGGACTGTTGGTATAAGGGGGAACATCCCAACCCTACACTTCTAAACCCTGCAGCCCCACACCCTAAACCCTAAACCCTAAACCCTAAACCCTAAACCCTAAACCCTACACCCTAAACCCTAAACCCTAAACCCTAAACCCTAAACCCTAAACCCTAAACCCTAAACCCTAAACCCTAAACCTTACAGCCTCAAACCCTCAGCCCGAAGTCTGCACTTCCAACCTGTGCGACCACTCAACCTTAATCGGGATTCCAGTACCCCCTGTAGCAATCCCTACTAAGGGCTGTTCGTAGAGCTTTGAAACCCCAAACCCTAAACCCTAAGCCCTAAACCCTAAGCCCTAAACCTTAAACCCTAAACCCCAAACCCTAAACTGCGGCCAAAGCGCCCCTCGCTACTTTTGCGACCTGCTGTCCCAAATCGGTAATGATGCATGCCACGGAACATGACAAGTAGCACGTGCGTGGCACCACAAGCGTGGAGCTGTTCTCATTAGGGACAGTATGCCTGTCCCTTGGCGTACGCCAACAGTACTATATTATAGATAATACCTTAAACCCTAACCCGGAGCTCCGTGAGGTCCTCTTCTGGGGCAGGTCCCAGGAAGCTTAAGAATGCCCCAGAAGGCTCCTGAGGGCCTTAGAAAGCTTGAAAAGCGGCCTAGAAAGCTTCAAAAAGCATCCACAAGCAAAAAAAAGGAATCGGAATGTCAAACAAGGCCTGAGAGGCCCCACGCGCTTTTCAATACCTAATTTTGGTCAAGGGGGGGTCGCATTTTTCAATTTTAAAGGCAAAATAGTCTTTGGAGACCCCCCCTTGCCTCAAACTCCGACCCCCCCTTGAAAGGGAAAGTTTGCTTTCGAAAAAGCCGGAAACCCAGGATTTGCCAGACCCGCAATTAAAAATGCGATTTTTTAGTACTGAAATCGACGGTTTTGGGCGCCCCTCCATTTTGCCCCCAAAAGGGGTCCGGAAAGCCCGAAAAAGCCGCCAAGATACCAAAAGGCTCTAAAAGCCACCAAAAGGCTTCAAAAAGCTTCCCAAAAAGCCAGAAGCCCAGGATTTGCCAGACCCGCTATTAAAAATGCGATTTTTTGGTACTGAAATCGATGGTTTTGGGCGCCTCATCCATTTTATCCCCAAAAAGGCCAGGAAAGCCCCAAAAAGCCCTCAAGGGCTATCAAAAGGCTTTAAAAGCCACCAAAAGGCTTCAAAAAGCCCCCCAAAAAGCCGGAAGCCCAGGATTTGCCAGACCCGCAATTAAAAATGCGATTCTTTTGTATTGAGATCGATGGTTTTGGGCACCCCTCCATTTTATCCTTAAAAGGGCCAGGAAAGCCTCAGGAAGCCCAAGGGCTACCAAAAGGCTTTTAAAAGCCACCAAAAGGCTTCAAAAAGCCCCCAAAAAGCCAGAAACCCAGGATTTGCCAGACCCGTAATTAAAAATGCGATTTTTTAGTACTGAATACGATGGTTTTGGGCACCCCTCCATTTTACCGACAAAAAGCGTTTAAGGGGTATTCCACCCTCTTATAAAGATATATGTGCATTTTAAAGTTTAGGCCCTAAACCCTAAAAGGAATAGGTTTGGGTGGTTGGGCCGCCTCATGAACGGCGCGGGGTGGGTATTTGTTAATCGGCCTGCAATAAGCGGGCCGAAGATCCGCCTTTGCAGCAAGCATGCCGTCCACCGCAAGAACTACACTAGCACGGACGTCTCACCCGCCCCCGGAAATTCAATACCCCATTTGGGAAAAGGCGCGAAACCCCAAACCCTAAACCCCAAACCCTAAACCCCAAACCCTAAACCCTAAGCCCTAAAGACCTTTCAAGGTGCGGCGGAAGAAGTCGGAGGCATCAGAGGAGGATCGAGGCAGCTTGGGGGATATGGTTTAGGGTTTAGGGTTTAGGGTTTAGGGTTTAGGGTTGAGGGTTGAGGGTTCCGAGTACATCTTAGGGTAGTTTCATGGCCCCTTTGTATGGGCCCTTAAAAGGGTACCCCTTTATATACCCCTTATATACCCTATACACATAAACGGCCCATAGGACCATGCTTAGGGCCGATGAAGCTACCCTTAGAATGCAGTCCGGGGTCAAAAGAGAATTTAGGGCTAAGGCCTTGGGGATTTTGGGTTTAGGTTTTAGGGTTTAGGGCTTTGGGGTTTTAGGGTTTTTAGGGTGGCAGGGACCGTCAGATTCCTCCTGGTGAGGAGAGAGGAGTATGGCTGAAAGCCCTAAACCCTAAACCCTAAACCCTAAACCCTAAACCCTAAACCCTAAACCCTAAACCCTAAACCCTAAACCCTAAACCCTAAACCCTAGACCCTACTGAGTATGGGTTTACTGGCAGTACCCGGATGGACCAAACCATACAGCAACCACCGCCACGTCCGAAGCCTTGCGATTCAGGTTGGAGTCTGCGTTTCCGTGTGGAAAGTTCCATGAATCAGGTTCCCTTTCATTTTGCAGTACCTCTATAACTATACAGTAATCCAGGTCTTTATATGAATCGCCTGGAGGACGCTGCAGTTGCGCGTTTGGGCGCTCACCTTGCTGGTGCTTAGTGGGAGTTGAGTGAATATAGCCGTAGCTGTTCTCAATCTTGGAGTTCACCGGAAGGCCTTGGTGACTTGGCGAGTGCTGTACATATGTGATGTTACAGAGGGATGGTTGCAGGGTTGCACTCCCCATTCAACCTTCATGCACCAGTACATGGGCTTGAGTTGCTCTCCCTAGGTGGCTTCCTCCCTAAGCCCTCTAAGCCCTAGGTCTTAAATGATTCCTACAACTTCAAATGGGAGGTTTGTCTAAAGGATGCGCCTTTCTTTGGGCCTCTCTGACATGTATATTGCTAATCAGGGCCCATCGCTCAAACGCTAGACACAAAGCGCTAAGCCTTAAGCCCGAACACCCAACCTTGGCGGACCAAGTGAACCCCAAAAAAAAGGTTTTCTGGTTCATATACCGTAATAGGGATTGTAGTCGTCTAGGGTATATAACCTCAAGTTTAAGGCTTTCTGGTCCATATACCTCAATAGGAATTGTAGTCGTATAGGGTACATGACCTCAAGTGTTAAGGTTTTTTGGTTCATATTACCTTCAAAGGGGTTATAGTCGCATAAGGTATAAGACCCCAATTTTTCGGGTTCATTTGGTGCCAAAAAATCCCGCAAACGAGTCCTCCAGATGCCGTGTGAACGGAAGTGCAGGTCGGAAGAAGGGCAAGGACCGGACCTCGTAGTGCTGTTTAGCGTTTGAGGTGTAGAGTGTAGGGTTTAGGGTTTACATCTAGTAATTCAGTGTGTGTTTGTGTGTCCAAGATTTGCGCACTTGTAAATATGCACATGTCATAGTGTGTTTGCGGACTGCAGGGTTTCGGGTGTCGGCTCGAGGGTGTTGGCAGCATTTGTTCTCCTTCGGTTTTGAGCTCAGGGCTTTGAGGATTGGGGGCCCTAGGGTTTGGTAGGGTTGGGTGGTAGGGTTGGGAGTTTAGGAGGATTTGCAATTTGAGGGGGTTGGGATTGATGCCCAAGGGCCATGGATGCTATGGACTGGTTCGCAACGTGAGTCAGAATTCTTTTCGGAAATCTGAACAACGAATCTTGACTTCAAGCCTTGAGCCCTGCTGAACTTTGAGTTCTTGATTTGAAGTTGTAAGACCTTACTAAGCTTCAAACCCTCGACCTTCACCCTAAACCCTAACTTCAGACTCAAAAGCCCCCCGGTCCTTGGGGGACCAAAGGAACCCCGAAATTGGGACCGCATACCCTATACATCCCTATACTACTAAAACCCTTATTAGGGTATATGAACCATAAACCCTTTTAGGGTTCATTTGGTCTCAAGGGTCTGGGTCCGTTTTCCCCAACCCCATCCTTGGCACATTGCCGCGGAAAAGCTTTTGATTTAGAGAAGTCGAGTTCGGATAGACCCACTCCCCGGGGTCTAGGGTTTGTTGTTTAGGGTTTAGGGTTGAGGGTTTAGGGTCTAGGGTTTAGCACACCCATCTGACAGGAGGACCGGAAGCGGAAACGGGGTTCCAGCTGAGTGGATGGCGCAGTCTGCCAGCACAACAGAGATGCTGGCGGTGTGGCGGTGCGCTCTTGAGCCCTGAGCCCTGATCCACCGACCACCCGAAAACCACTAGACTAAACACCAAAGCCTGAGTCCGAAAAAAAGTATGTAAAAGCCCCAAACCCGAAACCGTAAATCCAAATCCCTGAGTTTGTGGTCAGGGTTTATTTAGGGTTTAGGGTTTAGGGTTTATGTAGGGTTTAGGGTCTAGGGTTTAGGGTTTAGGGTTTAGGGTTTAGGGTTTAGGGTTTAGGGTTTAGGGTTTAGGGTTTAGGGTTTAGGGTTTAGGGTTTAGGGTTTAGGGCAAAGTTTAGGGTTTAGGGTTTTTGGTTTAGGGTTTAGGCTGAGGAGTTCAAGAACCCAAGCCCTAGCTGGTGCTCAGCGCATGCTTGGAGGCGCGAGAGTGCAACCGTGAGAAATGGCGGCACGAATATCTCCAACGCTGAAAACCGCGCGCGTTTAGGGTGGATTAGGGTTTAGGGTTTAAAGGGTTTAGGGTTTAGGGCTAGGGTTTAGGGTTTAGGGTTTGGGGTTTGGGGTTTAGGGTTTGGGGATTTGGGGTTTGGGGTTTAGGGTTTAGGGTTTAGGGTCGCGTTTAGGGTCTTTCGCCGTGGTTGCAGAGGGAAAGATAGACCATGACGTACTTCCCGGTGAGGGTCCTGACGTAAGCCACTTGAGAGCTCAGATACGATGATCCTCTGCAAGGCTGCGGCTTAAGGTTGAGGGTTGAGAGTTTAGGGTTTAGGGTTTAGGGTTTAGGGGGTTAGGGTTTAGGGTTTAGGGTTTAGGGTTTAGGGTTTCGGGTTTCGGGTTTCGGCTTCGAGGTTTAGGGTTTAGGGTTCAGGGTTCAGGGTTGCTGGATTAGAGGCACCCCTGTTACATGCTGCCAGCCCCCCTGCGACCCGAGCCTCCCACAGCACCTCGAAATATTAGCCCTCAACCCCATCCCTGAGGACCACATTATGAACCCGAAAAGGGTTTCGGGTTTGGGATTTAGGGTTTAGGGTTTAGGGTTTAGGGTTTAGGGTTTAGGGTTTAGGGTTTAGGGTTTAGGGTTTAGGGTTTAGGGTTTAGGGGTCATATGCCCTATTAAGGATTAGAGTGGTACAGGGCATACGGTCCTAATTTAGGGTTCACGTAGTCTCCAAGGATCTACGACGATGCATAGGGATTCATGCCCCAAAGCCTGGCACTTTAGGATTTAGGGTTTAGGGTTTTTGGTGCATTTTACGCGCTCCAACCCCACAAACCCTAAGCCCGAAATAAAGATCCTTAGACCCCGAATTCTTCGCCTAGATTCAGAACCCTTAACCTCTTATACCCGACGCCCTAAACCCTGAAAGAAAGAAGCCCTGCACCCGATGCCCCAAACCCTAATCCCTAAACCCTTAAACCCTGATCCACCTTAAACCTAGACCCTAAACCCTCAACCCTGAACCCTGAACCCTAAACCCTGAACCCTAAACCCTAAACCCTAAACCCTAAACCCTAAACCCTAAACCCTAAACCCTAAACCCTAAACCCTAAACCCTAAACCCTAAACCCTAAACCCTAAACCCTGAACCCTATACAGGGCCCAGCCGGCTAGTTCGACTCCTTCTGCCGTGCTGCTGACCACGCACTCCATGGAGGAAGCCGAGGTCGGAGACCGACGAAGTTTAGGGCTTGGGGTTTGGGGTTTCGGTTTTGGGGTTTAGGGTTTGGGGTTTAGGGTTTAGGGTTTGGGGCTTTGGGTTTAGGGTTATAGGTTTATAGGGTTCGGGATATTTTGGGTTGTAGGGTGTTGGGTCAGAGGGCTCAGGGGTTGTCTATCGGGTGCTGCAGACACTTGGGTCGACATGGGAGCTTCGGCGTTTGCGTGTTCAACAGTTCAGGTTTCGAGGTTGTAGGGCTGAGGGTTTGAGGTTTAGGTTTTGAGGTTGAGAAGTGAGGTTCAGAAATTTCCATTGTTTGGGCAGAGCTGGGAATCGGGGTCTCTGGATTTTGCACGTAGTGCCTGAGGCTGGGCTGGGGGTCTACCTAAACCCTAAACCCTAAACCCTAAACCCTAAACCCTAAATTTGGTGATGCCTCCCGACCTACATCGGTTCAGATCACCGGATGGGCTCATAAGTGATGCTGTCATCGAGGACCGGGAGTAGGCCCGTTTTCGTTTTTTTCAGGGTTGGGGTTCCCTTATAAGCCCCTTAAAACCAAAAAGAGCACCCTTTTTATTCCTAGGTGACTTCCGGGTCTGGTTCTAAGTACCCATGAACCCTCCAAGCAGGGAAAGGTACAGGGATGCCCACTCTTGACACGATTGTTTTTTCTAACATGATGTCCAGGCTTTAGCCTGCCAGGGCCCTTAACGTTTCAAAGTTTGGGGGCATTTTGGGAGCCCCAAACCCCAAACCCCAAACCCCAAACCCCAAACCCCCCCCAAACCCCAACCCCAAACCCCAAACCCCAAACCCCAAACCCCAAACCCCAAACCCCAAACCCCAAACCCCAAACCCCAAACCCCAAACCCCAAACCCCAAACCCCAAACCCTAAACCCTAAACCCTAAACCCTAAACCCTAAACCCTAAACCCGAACTTTACATAGGTTCTGGGGCTCTGAGAGGCCCTGTCCAGCCGGCTCGGGATCATGGCCCAGGGGCAGCTGCTCACAGCTTCGTGCTCAGGGAAGGATCAGGTTGCCTAGGATTTAGAGGGTTTAGGGTTTAGGGTTTAGGGTTTAGGGTTTAGGGTTTAGGGTTTAGGGTTTAGGGTTTAGGATTTAGTTTAGGGTTTAGGGTTTAGGGCTTCGGGTTTCGGGTTTAGGGTTTAGGATGTTCGGGTGTTAGCGCGTTAGGTTTGGGGTTTAGGGTTTGAGTTTTTGCGTTTTAGGGTTTAGGGTTTAGGTGCGCGTTTAAGTGTTCATCGGGTTTATGGTTTAGGGTGGTTGAGGGTATTGGAGGTTCAGAGAGTACTGTGGATCTAGGACCTTCAGGTTTCAGCCTGCAATTCGTAAATCCCTGAGGCTTGTGGGACCGAACAAGGCGTTGACGGACGGATCGGGGTGAACATATACCTGAGACCCTATTTACCTACAGTCTTAAGGGTTCTACCTACTAGATAGAGGCACTTACTATTAATCTCTAGGTAGATTGGGGTCCCAGGTAGGAAGTTAAGGGAGGAAGTCTGTCCACACTTGCGTGTCGTGGAGTCCCATTTCAACCTGCGAGGCGTGTGGGCTTCTTGCCGACGTGTGGATCTCTAAGGCCCCCAAACCCCCAACCCAAAACCCAAAACCCTAAAAAATGAGCTTCAAACACCCTAACCCTAAACCCTAAACCCTAAACCCTAAACCCTAAACCCTAAACCCTAAACCACAAGCGACCCAAAGTGTTGGCCCCCAAGCCCTGAGACAAGCGGCGAGAAAGCACGGAAAGCCCCGCCAGCCTTCGGAGTTTTCAAAGCGACGGCCAGGGCCAAAAAGTCCTTACCCAAGTAGGGTTTCGGGTTTAGGGTTTAGGGTTTAGGGTTTAGGGTTTAGGGTTTAGGGTTTAGGGTGCATTAGAGAGATTGCCGACACGAACCGCAACTTTTTCTCGTTTTGCTAAGGTTGGCACGGCCCAGCAGATTAAGGCTCGCGACACACTGGTTGGGCGATTCGAAGCTTCTCCTTGCTGTGTTGGGCTTAGGATTTAGGGTTTAGGGTTTAGGGTTTAGGGTTTAGGGTTTAGGGTTTAGGATTAAGGGTTTCGGGTTTAGGGTTGGGGTGATTGGGATGATTGGGGTGTTTGGGGTGTTTGGGGTGTTGGGGTGTTGGGTTTCTAGGAAACCCTCGGCTCGAAGCCCTACATCTCGAAACACTATAAACTCTAAACCCTCAACACCCCCAGGCCCTAAACCCTAAACCCTAAACCCTAAACCCTAAACCCTAAACCCTAAATCGTCGCTCCAGGTTTTTGCGGGTCGGGCGCCCTTCTAGAACCCGCGTTGGTCCAACAATTCCCTGTTGGTTCCTACATCCGAAAACCCTACAAGAATGGCAAAGCCTGACTTCAGCTTTCCTATGCAGAGTAAGTTCTGGGTTCAGGGGGCTTTTTGGGATCTCAAGGCCTACGAATACTTGAGCCCGGTCCCCCTAAAAAGCCGCTCAACATCTAAAATGTCGACTCCCTAAACCCTAAACCCCGAACCCTAAACCCCAAACCCCAAACCCCAAACCCCAAACCCTAAACCCTAAACCCTAAACCCTAAACCCTAAACCCTAAACCCTAACCCCAAAAAAACCTCCAGGAGAAGCACGGCAGCAGCCAGGAGCTGGTCTTGCGGCTTCGCCGCGAAAGTGAGGACTGGGCTTGGGGTTTGGGGTTTGGGGTTTAGGGTTTAGGGCTTAGGGTTTAGGGAGTAGGGTTTGGGGTTTAGGGTTTAGGGTTTAGGGTTTCTGCAGGGCTGGGATTGCCCGAGTTGTGGGAGAGTCTGGTTGCAAACTTAAGTTTAGCAAAGAGCCCCCCTATACTCGACCCTAAACCCCAAAGCATTTGGGATCTCGACCCCAAACCTATTAAACCCATGAATCCTAAACTCTCAACCCTATCAACCTGAACCCGCCCCCCCACCCTCACCCCTCCCCATCCCCTCCCTAGCTTCCTGAGGAGGCCCTCGGCCAGGTAATGCACGGATGCCCAGCAGATTTTTGGGTGGGTTGAGCGGATCGGAGTTTAAGGCTGGAGATTGTTTGGAGTTCGGGGTTTGGGTTGTTGGTTTAGGGTTGAGCGGCTTAGGCTTTGTGGGTTTAGGGTTGAGGGTTGAGGGTTTAGGGTTTGAAGGTTTATATGTGGGCTAGTCTAGGCAGACTCCCAGAAGCACCGACGTTGTGGGCCGAGCCCCCTCTTGAAGAACCTGAGCATCCGCCTCGCTCCCAACACATCGAAGGGATCGGATTGCCCTGCACTCTAACTTTTTGTTTGCGGGGTTAGGGTTTAGGGCTTAGGGCTTAGGG